CGGTTTGTTTCCCTGTCTTGCGAGAGAGCAAAAACATACTTTGCATAGACTCTATCTTGAATCAAACTGAAACACGTGATTCTACGGAACACGATTTTAACAATTTCGAAGTCGCGACGGTACCTGAGAACAACGAATACGATTGACTTAATACGTTCGTTCCACGAGAATGGTTTGAAAGTCGATAGACTTTGAAGGAAAATTGAGCGTATCTGAACGAACGATAAACTATTAGTAAAACGAAGAACAGTTCATTTGGTCACTATCGATCGTGGATAAAAGTATGTCGCGTAAATAGAAACACAAACACGATGATCGTTTACCGTGGACGGTTCTAACTAGTTTTCAGCGAAGAAGAAACGAAGAAACACAGTGACTTTTCCTAATCGCGAACGTTTAATTAGAATGCATACGGGTGATCGATTCGAAAAAGAAACGAAGATTTTCTTGAAAATACGATGGTCTGTTCGAACAAGTCAGCAGGATGGATACGATTGTCGATCGCACACGTATGCATTTATTAAGAACTTACAGGACGGATGGTGGCAAACAAGCGCACAGTACGTTTCGCATAGTATGCCGGAGTATATACTCGTTCTACATATACGCGTATTCATACACTCTTACACGCGACCAACGAAGAGACACATACATTTTCCGTCCGACACACTACGATAACGAATAGGAAAGAGAAACAGAGGGCCAGCGGACGAGTGCGTGTAGCTGTGCGCGTTAACACAAGTACTGATAGTAAGCTAGTCACAGACTCATACACACGTCTCGATCGTATAGCAAAACGAGCACATAGAGACATACATACACGCACACACGCACAGAGTCGACACACGGCGCAACGAGGAGAGAGAATGCCCGTTGTTTACGTTCTAACATCTGAACCGAGGAAGGTATACGGAAAATATGAAGATATATCCCTCCATGGCAAGGACCTACTGGGATTTCCTTACTCTGCTTGTGACATCCGAAACTTCTCGCATGATCGCCTCGAACGCCGCTCTTTCCTGCGCTTCCTTCTGTTTGTGTAGCGCGATCTTGTCACTGAACTTTCGTGGATTCGCCATGATGGCTCGGCACTAGATCTCCCGACACTCGCGAGTATCGTGCACCTACTATCGTGTACCCTCTACCCCCTCACACGTTTTCCTTTTTCACCGATCGCACCAATAAGGGCTCCCTAAATTTCACCACGTTAGAACCCGTAACCTACTGCCTTCTGGATGGCACTGCCGATCACTGATACGCAAGATTATGCGGCGCAGCGCGCCACGCGCATCGCGCAGGAGCCGCTTTTTGCGGGCTCATTGGTCACACCGATCCCCCACCATTCCATCGTACCCGCAATAAAAGACTGACGACACTTTTCCGGGGTGTTCCAAAAAGCTCGCTCTTTCGTTTGGTCTTGCAATGTACAACGCTGTAGATAAAACAGATTAACATCCATGTTTTATTACCACATGCTCATAAACGTAAATCAGTGAAAGATTGTTTACTTTTTATTTGTTTCGAAATATATTACATTAGCTCTTGCGATTCCTTCCTTTGCGTATTAACAAATATACGTATTGTTTACATTTATTTGTACTTATTATGTTATTTTAAACGAATAAATATTTATAGACTGAACGATATAAGGTTATTTTATGTATATGAAAAATTTCTCTCTATAGTTAGTTATACCTTGTATATTTCCTTTACACGAAATTTAACTAATATAATTTTTTTTCGCATGTATAATTGATATATAATTTTTGTACTGTTTTTCGCTTCTGCTGTATCGATCGAGAACAGGATATCATCGATTGTATATTTGCGAAGATCATTATGGATTACAATTACGTTACATTTTCTTTCTATATATAAAAATTGTTGCATGAGTAAAAAGAAAACTGTAAACTGAAATTATATTAAAATGTTAACTTAATTATGATTATTATTTTTACATTTTGTGCTTTAAAATGTAAAAATGTCATTGTGTATGTGATACAGTGTTTTACTTTCACCGTTTTCTCACAATAAATATATGAAATATAAATTTTATAAAAATGACTCATTTTGATAAAGACACGTATATTGAATGTTTACCAGTAACTGTATATAATGAGATAGTTAATGCATTGAATAAAGACGCAGCTTGGATAACATTAGCAAATCATGTAGCTGAAGAGCTTCAATATCCATGGTAAGAAAACAGTAGTATTTAAAAAATACAAGGTATTATAATTTAAAATATATCATTCTATTGCATACGTTTTATGTATAGTACTCTGTGGATACAATCTTTAAACGAGATCAAACATCCAAACGATTCTCCTGGACAAAAGCTGCTTTCTGAATTAAGTATTAAAATGTGTACTATAGAGATTTTACATACTTTATTAAGCGACTGCAAGCTTTATAACATTCTTTCAATTATATCTGATCCAGGTATGATAATATTTATTGTGACCTATTTATTCGAAAAATTACAAACTTACTATTTCCTGAATACCAATGCTCTTAGAACCTTTGAGCATTATTATGCATCCAACAGAGGAATTTCAAACTAGCATTTTGAAAGTATCATTTGGACATCGTCTTCGTCTATGCTGTAAAGCTGTTGGGATGCCATTACCAAATTACGTATGGTACCATAATAATAATGAATTGCAACACTGTACTTCTGATGTGCTTGATTTTATTATAGTTAGGTACATTTTTAGGAAAAATGTTTGTATACTTTTATTGGTTATTATGTCATTGTAACATTTATTTTATTTATTCCAAAGTGCTTCTCAAGCAGGAGAATATAGATGTAAGGTATTTCAAATTAAAAATGATGGAACTCTCATATCAACTTTGACTTCAAAGGCTATAACTGTACAAATTTTTTCTACACCTGTTGTGATAGAAGAACAACCACAGCCACTTTTAGAAGTTAAAGAAGGTGAAAATTTTACAATTCATTGTAAAGCCAATAGTTATTCCAAACCACGTTACCAATGGTTCCATGACAATACTAAACTAGAAGGAGAAACATCTAACATTTTGCATGTAATGCAAACTACTGTTATTTCTCTAACAATATTTAATAATGTCTGCTTTATTAAAGTATGATTTTAGGTAAAACAATTTAGTTTGAAGAATGAAGGAAAATATTATTGTTATATTTATAACGATATCAGTGAAATTTATACGCAAAGAACTCGTGTAATGGTAAAGATGGATAATGATTTCATTAACATTTTATCATTATATCTTAATTTATTAATTACATTTTCATATAGATGGATCTTCCAAAATGTAAAGCAGTTGCAAAAATAGCTTTGGTCATTGCGAATGAAGAGTATGAGAACCATGAATGTCTTTTAACATCTAAAAATGATGCTGCGTGCATTGGTAATCTTCTTAAAGAAATAGGATTTGAAGTAATTTGTCTCCTCAATTTGACAATTACTCAAATGAAAAATGCAATAAAAATATTTAGCAAAGCTTTAGTTGAAGGAGTGTATGGTAAGATGTAAAAAGTGTAAATTAGAAAATATATTATTACTTAAATTATTCTTCTGTTTATATAGGCTTATTCTATTTTGCTGGACATGGTTTTAAAATGCAAGAAAGTTATATGCTTGCAACAGATGCTCCAGAAGCATATTTAAGAAAAGATGCAATATGTGAAAGTGAACTATTGTCTGCATTCCTTGAGAATGATCCTGAACTATTAATTGTTATTTTAGATATGTGTCAAACTTTACCTTCAAAGTAACTTTTTGACCTTTTTTTCATTCTTTCCATTTTCATTCTTTATCTTTATACTTAACTCATATGTTTATTTTTAGAGAATTTAATCCTGAGATATACCATGAGGTACCAACAGTGAATGTGTATAAAAGCAAGAAGAATCTTAGAAATTTAATTCAAGCATACTCTACATCTAGTCATCGACCGAGTTATGAGAAATTAAATTGTAAATATGGTTTATATATGGAACATCTCAGCGAATATATTAATAAAGATATAACTGTTACAAAATTATTTGAAGAAGTAGGAAAATGTAAGTTGTTAATACAGCACATATAATGCGTGGATACACACATAAACTTATCCTATATTTCATATTTGCAAAGTATATATGTTACAACAAATATTTGCAGCAATTGATAGCTGTTTTAAAGGGAAAGAACGGAATCAAATTCCAATGTTTGCTGTCTCTGTTACAAAACCATTTCGTCTTACTGATGCTACTTATAAAAGTAACTTTAGTTGTACTCATTATGTATTCATAAATAGAAATGTTTTTTAACTATTGTTTTAATATATATTTTAAATATTATAGACAAACGTCCAGATATCATTAATTATTTAAGTAAATTTATATCATATTCAACTCAGACAATAAATGTACTGTTTAAACAAGCAAGGATGTGCAGTAGAGTTAAAATTTCTCTATTTATGGAACCATATTTAAATATAGTAAGAATCAAAGTACTTGATTTACCAAATGTAGAAATTAACTTTTTTAATTCTATTCCTGCAAAGCGAAATAATTTATTTCAAGATCAACACGAGAAAGAGTGTTGGATTCATAATCCCCAAATCAATGAGGTATCTACTTTCTACTTAATATGAAAATACTTTTATATGAAGCAATTTAATAATTACTTGATTACAGTAACCTTTATATAGATCTTTATTGTAGGGACCATTGGTGATTTCTGTGTCAAAAGATGGTATCCCTATTGGTGCTACAGTATTGCATATAAAAGATTACATACCCCCTCTACTGAAACTTGTAAATATTTGAGAAAAGAAACATAGAGGGAAATACAATACAAGTAATTAAACATAATATAGAGGATATATTTTAAAAAGCTTTATATATTCTGTTTAAAATAATTTACATATTTATAGAACTATTAAAAAAAATTCTCTCCTCTCAATATACATGCACACTGTGACTTACAAAAAAAAGTAAAAATATTTGCTATAAAATGTATAACTAGTAATTTATATTGGGATACAAATTTTATTTAATTATTTAATTATATAATGGTAAAATCTACCAAAATGATGTATGACTTACTAGCCTTACAATCCATTCGCTTCCTACTCCATTTTTATACATCCTTTCAAATATATAATGAATATACACATATGAATCTCTATCCAAAAAACTTTTCGTAAACAATCCCTGTATTCCTATATGAACGACTGCATCATTGTTATCTATAGCATAATTGTATCAAGTGAAAAAAATAATAGCAAAAATATGATTATAATAGCATGAGTTTACCTTTATTCCTTCTTAATTTTATGAAATAAGGAAGAAACACAAGAGATTCATCATCAATAAGAAGTAGCTCCCGTTGTCTTGGAGTTAAGCGATCAACTCTGTGCCTTAGTATTTTTATAGCTTTTTCTTTTACCATACCATTTAATGCTTCATAGTCTCGCATATTTAAAGCCGTAGATATTGCTATCAACGCCTAGAAAACATTCCTTGCTACAGCTTTATTAAATATGTAATTTTATATTCGACATTACATATATGTACTATTGAAATATATATCCATATTATTAAAGTTTTAGCATTAAAATTAAAGCATTAGTTCAATGCACTGTTTATTTTATTCAACGTTGTATTCTTTTTACTTAAAGTGTTAGCTTTTTTATATGACACGTCAATAAATATATACCTGATGAGCTCCTATTATAAAATCTTGTATACGAAACTCCGGGTCAATAGATGAATTCAAAATGAAATAAAGCTGCATCGCTTCAAAAAAATTCCATTGCTTAGGATATCCAAACATTAACGGTGGCAACCTGCTTTGATTTTCAGAGTGTAGTAATCTACGTACATTAAGACTTGGATTTATTATATTTGAGTATTTCGGTTCTCTCAAATGGTAAATCGTTTTTATTTTTAATTGAGCTGTATTATTCGTGTGAAACATTACGAGTTGTCGCATCTGTATAGGAAGTACACATTTTTTCAACCGGAATAGCATTGTTCTGCTACTTTGCGTATATATGAAATATAACCTATTATTCTGTACAATCTATGTAATACTAGCAACGTATTCAGTTATGTGGTATTATCCTCTATTTAACGAGTATCGTTATAATATTACTCCGCTTTGTAAATTTTTACCTTTGTATTACATATATATGTTCAATTTATAACTTATGATACATTTATATAATATCTTTTCTTTTAAATATGGCGCTAGAAGAATCTAAATAAATGGTAACATGAAATAAAGTTACGTTTACAATTGTATTCACTTCAGAATATGTTCAATAGAAATGTATTTAGGACAAATTTTGAATATTTAAAACTCTCTATCTATTCTCTAGGAAAAAGAAAATACAAATGTTTATTTATTCTAACATATAATGATACAAAATGTACAAAAGGTATTGACTTAGTTGAATTTAAATTTTGAGATCCCATAAATTAATACCCATGAAACACAATAGTTAAGGGAGATCATCTTTAAGTATGCGCTTACGTGATTCATCTTGCCATCTCGTATGCGCATTTATATAAATTTTTGGCCCGTTAGGTTCAGCTCTATTTATCGCAGATTCTCGAAGGTTATTTACATTGTAATTTAGATTATGTTTAAGATAGTAGGAAACTAAGATTTTGATTATATTATAAGAGATTTTACAGTGTCAATATTTTTTAATTTCTACTTAATATATAATTGCAAGTAATGAGGCTCACAACTATTCTATTTGGAAAGTTAGGTGAATGGTCGAAAAAATATGCGAATTTACCAGACCGCTACATAGACCGTGTTTCAGAACGTGTATGTGAATTTGTTTTGTATTAATATTTACTGTATCTTATATTTATATGGTATTTAGATTAGAAAATAATATTTTATATGTATAGGTATTGTGGAAATCTCCACCTGGCAAACCACAATTTCTTAAACGTAAAATAGTACCAAATAAGAAATTGTACTATTCTATCCATCGACCATGGTCAACAAATTTTCAATATGAGAATTGGGTTATGAAGCGTAGAGATTGGCCACCAGTTGAACCCATAAAAGATTGGAGTTTCTTTCGTGGTGATCGTGTATGTATTTATATGTGTTATATCAAAGGCTTTGATATTAAAACTTTATTTTTTAGGTGGAACTCTTAACTGGTCCTGATAAGGGAAAACAAGGAATAGTACACGATATTATACAGGAGAGAAATTGGGTTATTGTTCATGGATTAAATACAAAAGTAATAGTACGGGAGAAAAAGAAAGGTTTTCCTGGAATTTACTTGCGTGTAGAACAACCATTATTAGTTACGACTCAAGTGCAATTAATAGATCCTTCAGATTTGTAAGTATAATAAAATATCGAGAAATATGTATATATAGCTTGCTGTTTATAGCTTTAAATATTTAATTTATTTTAGGAAAGGGACTGCAATAGAATGGAGATATACACAAGATGGTGAATATGTAAGAGTGTCTCTTAGAACTGGCAGAATTATTCCCATACCTGTATCAAGTCAAGAAACTGTAGATTACAAAACTCCAGATATGTATGTTGAAGAACCTAAAGATACTACTGAAAGTGACGTAAAGGAATTAACATTCGAAGTATGTACAACCTGCAATCTAATAACATTATGTCAGTAGGGGAGTGTATTATTGATTTTCATTGATTTGTAGGCAAAATTGAAGACATTTGAAATGGATATTATGGATAAAATGGGAATTGTAGAGGATCGTGTACCAAAGAAATATTATTGGTATTAATTTTTCTAAATACATGTAACGTATTAATTTTTTTTATTATATATATAAAAGTGAGCTTTAAGACGTTTTTAAATCTTTATTTCGTTACTGTAAACTTGATTGAAAGTAAAGATATAATATAATACAGTTTGAAAAATATCTTTATAGTTCTGATTGTGTTGTGAAAACAAAATTAGATTACGATATCCTGTTTCATGAAACATGTTGAAAATGTTTCTAAAATCAAAGAATTAAATATTTTTTTCTAAATATTCTAAGGTAAAATATTTTTTGTAGAATTATCGTTTATTAAAGAATTCGTTAAGGACAAGCCGCTTTTATTAATGCTTATTACTTTCATATTAACACACATACATATCACAGCATGATTTTTAACAAACGCGACCTAGAAACGAATGTCAGTCTACATTTAAATACTTTAGTAATGCATTATATTAACATTTCTTTTTTTTTATATTATATATGCCATATTTCTAGAACAATTGCATTTCAAATTTTTGCACGCTATTCTTATTTACAAATCATTTTTCTTCATTTATTTCATAACATTGTATTAAACAAAATCATAAAATGAATGCATATTTATATGCACGTTATTCCTTGGATTAAGCTTATAATGCAGACTAATAGTAAGATTGGGAAAAGCATTCCTTTCTTTACAATAATGAAATGTATGCAAACAAACTTCACACATCGTACTCGATGGTACGACATTAAAAAAAGAAATCTCCTAGTGGACTGAGATTTTTCAAATAATTACTTAAAAATGCTATCTCGATATACGTACATATAAGCACAATATGTGAATCCTAATTGTAAGTAGATTCCAACGAAATGTTTGTTATTTTTTGAGAATACGAAAAGACAAACTAAGTACGCGATACATTGTGATTTCGAACATGAGAATGTATCAGGAGATCGTCGAAACGGTGCACATATCGTATCCTTCGAATTCAACAAAAAAATTGCCTGCTACGAAATCATTATGTTTCTCACATTCGAAATTTGTTGTTTTGTAATAACGTTACATTTATGCAGTCATGATGATTCGTTCGGAACGATTACTTTTATTTGACTATCATTCACGACGATTTGGTGGCAGGGTGCCTGACTAGGAGGTTTACTTCGCCGTCATGTAGTTTCTTCATGAGGGACCACGCTTCGATTCTTGACATACGTGTCACATCGTACCCATTCACTTCTAATAACTGGTCCCCTGCTTTCAAGGCACCTGTTTTTTCGGCAGCACCTCCTATATCGTAATATATTTATTAGATTTCGAAGTTATAAATATAAGAGACAAATCTATAATAGAAAACATACCGGTAAATATTTTCTTGATCAGCAACGGTCTATCCCCAAGGGGGCTGTCTCTACCTCCTTCGAGACTGAATCCCAAACCAGTTCCATCCTTGTAAACCGCTACAACTGACGGCGGACCCCACGCAGTGTCCTCTGAGGTGTCGTTTGTCTCGAATCCTTTGAAAAAAAAAGCGTTATTGGTTATTACGAATTAAACGTATCTCCTAAGATTGCTAGACTGCGGATATTTATGCGAATTTGTATTTTTATAAATATTTCTATCAACTGAAACAGTAAGATTTATACAGAAATTTGTCTCTCATATTAAATATTACATCGTAGGTACATCGGATATAGAGGATCTTTTTACAGAAAAGCAATTTTAAAATCCAGTTTTTTTCTACGGCGGTGTACTTTGTGCGATGAACTGTTCTTTAAAATCCGCAATGTATTAATTACCTATAGTGCAATTTCATCAAAATTACCTTCGATAATAGTTTCGACACTCGCGGTCCGTGATTTCAATTTGCACCCTTCCTCTGACCTCGCTCGAGAAACAACTAAAACAACTTCCGATCTGGGTTGCTTGAGCACCGCTATGCTTTCTCTGTGCGTGAGACCCTGCGTGCCTCTGCCATTTATACTTAGAATCCTATCTCCCCTCTGCACACGGCCATCCTTGTCAGCGATAGAATGTGCCAGTACTCGATGAATCGTGATTTCTTTAATTTCACAATCCGCCCCTCCGGCTAGAGTGATTCCAACGCTACCGGTTGGATTCTCCTTATGAAGTAAGACAACGATCACGTCGTGAGCACCTCGAACTTCTTCGAGACTCGCCTCTTCCACTAGCTGCGCTAATTCCTGTTGCGAAATCAAGCTGGTGCTACTGGCCAACGAACTGATACTTCCAAACTGCTCGCTGCAGCATCTGTCTGTGTCAACATCGGTTCCAACCGGAGACACGTTTCCGTCCACGCTGCTGTCCAAACTGGGAAATCGGTTATGAGTAGCTACAGTAGTTTGTTGCGGGCTGGTGGGACTATTCACTTCCAGAGCCTTCTTCATGTCCGTCACACTGATGCTTCTTCGACCAAGATTTCTGGTCGTTGGTATTTTCGATAGCAACGATTTTGACTTTTCCGCTTCTGCCATTTCGTCTCCGCTGTTGTCAGTTACTCTCGACTTTCCCAACGTTCCCATCTTCGAGAATGGCTTATCCTCGTTCCAGTACTCGCTTAACATCGACGAGCTTCTTCTGATGTATCGATTGTCCTTAGGTTCCCACTGCGATCTGTTCTGAACGTTGCAGGAGAGAGTACTGCTCCTTTCGGTTCTCGTTTCGCCACTTTGAGCTCGCAGTTTCGTGTCTGCTTTCGCGCTCAGAATATCCTCCAGGCTCATCTGACTCTTCGATCGACCAAAACTTCCATCATCCACGTGTATCGCCGACCTAGATCTACTCTTCGTCGTCAGGATCGTCAGAAGATCGTTCTGATCTTCGGCAGGTTTCTTCGGAGGTATGCTAGGAGGAGATCGCTGTTTCGATACTTGCAGCAATCCAGATTCGTTTTCGTTCCCTTGTTTTCGTCTATTGGTCGACGACAGATCGACCGAGTTGAATTGTTGTTCCTCGATTATGGCAGACTTATTGTTCTTCAAACCGTTATCTACGGCGCTAATATCGACGTCAGATTTCTTTTCTGTTTTATTAGCCATTTTCTCTTCGGGCGATTTAACCAAAGCTTTCGCCTCTGTACGAACCCACATTTTCAAATCATTCGAAGGTTCTATTATCTCGAACTTCGACTGCCTCACGGTCGAGGACGTTACGTTCCTCTTCGAAGGCAGCTTCGACTCTTCGCTATCCTTCTCGAAAGAATCATCCTCTCCAAACGAGTCTGTTACCTCTATATAAGCGATCTTCACATCCTGTGTACCTGAAACTGTATCCTTGACACGATTTTTCTGATAGCTGTTTTCACCGTTCTCGGTGATCGTCGATCGACATTCATCGTCAGAAAACTTCCTCTGAATCAACGGGGATCCATTGAGATCCCTGCCGCTCCTACACCTAGCACTAGCCAGAATATTTTTGCGATTGATAGCTTCTACGCTCTGCGGTTTGAGTACTCTTCTGGACAGAGACTCGGCGCTCGCCTGAGATCCAGAAGTGAGAGTCGAAGATGTGCTACAATTGGTGTCAGTACTGTTGGATCGTTTCAATTGCCTCTGAGGTATCTGAGAGTTCCTGGAGTTTGAATCTGTCGTTGGCGATCTAAGACCGGAGCTGCTACTGCTCGACGAAGATCTCTCGGAGATGAAGGCTCTGTCGCTTATGATATTGGATCTGGCAGGATATTCTGCGCTTGTTTCTCTCGCGTAAGTTCTAGTCGGGCTGTCCATGACGAGAGATCGTCGTGGATAGTTGGCTTCCGTAGAAACGTAGGATCTCTCTGACGAAACCGTAGATCGTTCCGAGGGAACCGGTGACATCGGTGGACTGAAGCCTCGAGAAATGCTACTCTGCGAGCTACTAACTGCCGAATCATTGTCCGAGTCGTCGTAATCCATCCTGGTCTTCCTCTGCGTCATTTTGGGCCTGTTACGTAATCCCTCTGGTGAACTGGCTGTAGACGCGAATTCGAAGCTGTAATCGCTTCGCGTTGGACTGCAGATGCTCTCTAAGCTTTTCGGAGGTTCGGAGAGCGGCGGTGTAGAGGTGGTTGTAGTTGTCGACGGGCTTTTCGTAGCGCTGTTTATCGAGGAATTACTCGAGGAGGAAGTGCCGTATACCGCGAGGCTCTTCCTTTTGAAGGCTGGCGAGTACTTGGAGTGTATCTGAGGAGCTGGCATCTTGAAGGAAGTGGTCGCCTTCAAGGGCACGCTGGCCGTGCTCGCGTTGCTCGCCAAGGAACTCTGAGAACCCCACTTGTCCTGGATGTTCACTTTCGGTAGCTGTAAAGGACGGGAAATGTTCTGATTCGTTCTGAATATAATATCGCTTGATATTTGCCATGGAGATAGACTTATCTTCGGTAAGTAGGGTAAATTCGAGGAGAGATGTTGCGTATTTTGAAAATTTGTGTGTGTTTATAATGGAGAATTTTTCCAAGAACGAATATTGTTAGTAGAGTGGCTTGTATCACCGTTTTTATCGAAATAAGTCTCAGTTTTGTTACATGTCAGTGTTAACAAACGAAAACCTAAAAGTCTATTTTTCGAGGAAAGACGCCAGGTTTGGCGAAGCGATGATGCAATTTCAGGATTTTGATTTCTTTCGACGATAGCTTCTAAGGTTCGGTAAAAATAGACTTACCTGATGCAACAGTATCGAATCTCGCGACTTGATTTCAGGTAAATCAACGATAGGCGCGTCGATCGATATCGTTTCTTTTTCAGGAATGACCAGTCCTCTCAGTTTCGATATCGACTTCTTCCTCTGCTCGATCAACTGATTCCAACTAGTTCTCCTAATATCCTCATTGGGCCTCTTGAACGTAGATGCTAACGAATTCGTTCTAGTAATTTGCGGCGACGCGGGAAGTTCACTCGGCGTGGAAGTTCTATCTTGACCGTACGGACTCGACGCACAGAAACTGGTGGCACGAGACAACGCAGTTGATGTCACAGGTTTTATCGCGACACTCGGAGCATTTTGACTCGAAGTCGTCGACGAATAATTCTTCGCCGGTGATTTAGGCACCGAAGATGTTTCAAACGAGCTGATCAATGGCGTCGTCGCCGAGGTGACAGGCTTTTGTGGAACGATCGGAAACGCCTTGGAAGTATAAATAGTCGGCGACGTCACTGGCGAACTTTGCGTTATACTTGGCGATCGTCTGTACTTCTTCCCAGGATCTTGACTAACGTTTCTTCCCGAATCTGTCAAATCGAAAGAACTCTGCGTTCTGTCTGAGAAGAAGCATGTCCTCTCCTTCTGACCAGAGCTTTTCTCGTCGCTGCACACGTCTTCCGTGGATTTGTACTTGGACAATCTTCTGACGTTGTTCGTTGCAGCAGCGGCCACTATCGAATTAGGGAACAGAGGACCATCCAGGCTGCTTTGCGACGAAAACATAGCGATCTTGTCCCTAACCGATCGTTCAGACTTGTCGTCCTGCCGTCGAAGGTCGCCGTTCAATGAAAATTTTCGTGGCGTCGATTCTAAGATCGCGTTTCTCGTGTACGGCGAGCAAATAATTTCTGACTTAGGTGGGCAGATTGACTCTATCTTAGGCGGACAGATTGTCTCTAACTTGGGCGGACCTGAAAGACCAAAGAAATGCCGAATACTTAGCAATGCGATAAGATAGTAACAATGGAATACTAAGAATTCATATAGATAATCTGTGATTAGGGATTATGTGAACGTTCACAGTTGAGTATCTATAGCAACTGAGGAGAGATTCGAAGAATACGTACGGAGATTTGGCTTTCGTTAGGCTAATTCTCGTTAAATGAACTGCTTACATCGACTACTTAGCCCTCGATAGAATGAAATAAGCAGACTTCTAGCTTATAATTCTTAATACAGTGGAATTTACTTTATAGAAACTTTATTTACTCGAATTAAATCTTCGTTAGTACCCGGTCAAATGAACTACTTGAACCAGCAGAATCTATTTATTCGAACATGAACTATGACGCGAATGAAAAAATCGCAGATAAAGAATCTATAAAACTCCTTTGCACAAACTCTAATTATATCGATTATATGTCTCCTCGCAAGTCCATATTTGTTGATCCCGATGGCAGTCGATAGTTAAAATATTCCAAAGGTTAACAATTTTTTAGATTCGGTAACACGAGTCTGCCACAAAATAGGCGATACGTCGATGAAATTTCGCAAACAAGTAACGATATATTACGACAAGCGATATTTTTCAAATATTCGACAAGGTGAAAAATGCAGAATGTCTTTAATTCGACGATCGATTCGAAAGAAAAGTTTTAGTATTGTAACATAGAACTTGTTCTTTCCCTGTGGTCTGCGTATTTAATATCTAAAAACCAGCTTCTATATATAATCCAATTCTATATATATATATATATATACACTGACAAAACACGGAAGGAAAGTTTACCGGTGAGCGGCAATGGCGGAGGCGTGTCCAAGGTATCCTTCTCGGTATGGTCCTGCGCCTCTTCGATAACGGCCACGTCTTTGTGATAGTAACCCGTGATTTCGATCTTCTTCTCCGACACCAGAATGTTAGCGTCACCTTGATTCCCGTAGCTGGAGTAGTTGGTCACGGACGCAGCCTTTTTAACGAAGTCATCAGCGATGTACGGCTTCGAGTCTTCGAGTACGCGGACCTCGCGAGCCAGTACGTTGCTCGTATCTTGACAAACGTTCTCGACGCTCATCTTGCCGTTTATCTCGATGCTCGGCAGTTCGATCTTGCTCACCTCCTGGCAGACGTTCTCCACGTTGGTCAAACCGGTGATCCTGTTGTCGGCTAAAATAATGCCAGTTGCGGCGACCACGTTGTTCTCGAGCAACTTGAAACCTTCGTTGTTCATGAAGGATTCGTTCTCATTGCAAACGAGTCGACCGTTCGCGATCATCGTCGACGTCCTCGCCGTCGCCGTGCTCGTCGTCACGAAACGGTACTGCTGGCTGTTGCCACCGAACTCTTGGTACGCTGCTGGAAACTCGTCCCCGTCCGGGGGCAGGCGCTGACCGCCTCCGCAGTTGTCCATCCTACCATTTACCGTCTCTAAAATCACACAAGCCACAGAGTGTTGGTTATCGTCAGCGTTCTTTACACTGCTCGCGAAACGTTTCAAAGTTGCAAGTTTCTCGTCTATGTGGTGTTCGATAAGGTTTTGCGTTCGATAGGTATTTCGTTGATTCGTAAAGATTTTTATATTTCGTGGAAGTATTTTATCAGATGAGCGCAAAAGTTTTGTCGGTTTATTTTTTTTTTTAATAAATTATTACCGGAGACGATTCACGCTATCGTCCAACTTGCATTTCTTTAACCAACTCTGCCACTTTCAACGATAAACTTCGTACCGACGTTAACGTCCGTATTCCGAAGACTGCAATTTGCGATCGGAAGACTCGCATTGCGTTAATCGCAGCCGCGGACATCGAACGAAACTACGAATCTCTGGACGCGCGTTCGACTCACGCGTAATCCTTAACGTCGCATTTACTTCTATTACAAATTGCGCAACGTAATTGCCTCATTAAGCCTCATTACGATTTAAACGTTAGGTATTTGCGTGCGCGTGTAATTCGTTATTTTCCATCAATCTAAGAATTCTTCGACGAAGATGGGAAAATGGGCCGAAAATAAAGCAACAAGGGTTGTGTTTCCAATTCGGAATTCGCGCGTAGTTGCTCGCGTTACCGGACCCCAACTGTTCACGTTCTCGTGCGCTCGACGAGGGGGATCGATTCCGCAACGCGCGTCGCTCTTTCGATCCACACGCGTCGTTGCTCCCGCGATCTCGCGAACGTTGATCCGTTCGTGCGTTCCAAATGCACGAGATTCCAGATTGCAGAGGCGGGGAAGGAGAGAAACGTCTAATAAAATCTAGCTACCAGTCGCGATAACGTTGGAAAAGGTTTGGTCTAGGCAAAACCGACCGGTGAATATTTTTTCAAACATCCATTTCCCGTTTATCGGCTCTCTGGAGCGAGCATACTCCGGTAGGAATTTTAATCTACGCAATTGAGATATTCCTGTATAGCCAGGCGTGGGTCTATCTCTATGCGCTCTTATGATTTGCGTTCACCCGTCTTTAGATTTTTAAGTTGTTCGGCGTTTCTGCTTCGAAGGTCGCTGATACCAGGATCAGGAGAAACAAGCAATCTTATTACCACGTGATCGTGTATTCATATAGCTTTTCTAATACCAAAGTATCGGATAGAGAGGTGATATCGTGTTTCGGAATAGCGTTGTTAAAATAAGCTTCGAAAGCTCGATTTGCGGATCGAGGTGTAAGCATTGAGATTCTTCGCGGTTAAACTTTGAACCATTAGAGTTCGAGTCCTCGAAAGGTATAACGACGATAGCTTAGAAAAACGTATTTTTTAAATTTCCCCTCGAATTTCAGGCGTGTAGAAAGTAACGTCAAAGTGGTTTATTAAAATTCCTCGGAACTACCATAAAAACGACCATAAAATCTTGGAAACTACACGCTAGGTTGACCTTGCCACGGCTCCTAAATTTCCACATGTGGGTTGCATGGACGTTGAATTTTTATGTCGAAATTCGGTTTCAGCAGATAGAAAGATATTTAACGTCGTAACAAAGTCTGCAGTATAAGAGAGACAAACGTCGCGTACATCTACAAGGATTATTTCATCTTTTCTTCGAACTACACAAATTCGCGAATGATCAAAAATATGATTCGATCGAAGAGAATTCAAAGAACACAGAAGATTAAGTCGAGAAGTTGAGGAAATTCAAGTTTTTTACGTCACTGTCTCAAAATATAACTTCACATCACGTTGCATTTCGCGAACTGTCCAATCCAAATTTGGTAGGACCTCGAAAGTCAAGGACAAAATACCGGAGGACCCGCAAGGAAAGCCAAAAGTGTCCTGGTTATTTTAGCGGTTTACGCAATCGCGCGTTACTTTCACGCGCAGCGGCGATCGTTTGCCGTCGGTTTACATAGCTGACCGGTACTAGACGAGGGAATCGCGTGCAAAGGACGTATCCGGAGCAGATCCGCGGTTTCCTCGCAGCCGACCGGATTGCTCAAATCCAAGGATTTCTACATTCTAACACGCGCACCCACTGATAAACCGCGTACGATCGCGTTATCTGCGCTCGAGCGTTCGACGCACGGGCGTGTCACGCTTGGTCGCTCGGAATCGCCGAGAATATCGTCAGAATAAATATTTGCAAATACCATTTGTGCCAAAGGTACCGCCTCCGTGCACGTTTTCGCGTTTCACTGGAACACTAGGTGAAAATTTTTCACCATGCGAACAGATATACTTTCCTATTATATGTAACTTGCGAACGTAGACTTCGTACGATATATTAGTCAGCAACTCGCAACACCAATTTACAGTATGACGTAGCAATGAGTAATACTATATAAACAAAATACAACTCGTATGTACACATAACGGTAGCATGATTTTTAGATAATAGTTCCGATGGAACTTGGCTTTAGAAAATTGTTATCCTCTATCGATAGTGGAAATACCGGGAATATGCTGTTTTATATCGAGCTGTATCAAAAATTTTCAAACAAACAGAAAAATCTTTAAAACACGAATCAGTTGTTATCTTGTCAGAGAAAAATTTATCTCATGTATCGGCTTTTTATTTTATTCCAACAGAATGTGAAACTTTCTATGTCTATGTAACGATACTTGTTGCTATTAACGAGATAATAGTATTTTGCTTAACACGGTACATGATCTTCGTGTTGTAAAAGTGTTATCTGTAGGTAAAACTCGAAGGAAGCTCGTTAACATAGGAAATTGATATGGCAAAGAATCAAAGACTCAGGATGAAAAGCCTGCGTTTCGCGGTTAAATCGTGCTCGCGTGCCACATTTCCTGCTAACTTCTGATTAACATTCTTGGCTGGTTGCCGTACGATGGTACCGATCGCCGATACACCTGCAACCGGCGCACTGTTCCTCGATATCGCGATACGATGCACCACGTGCCATCGGAAATTCCATTGACTGGCAGAAAGCGTGGAGCCGGCACATTATGTAATTCACGGACGAACTGCACCTACGAGTTTCCTATTCCTGTCAGCCGGTATTTCGATCATTAGACTGTGGATGTTTGCACATTTACGAGAAATTTGAAAGTACAAAATCGCGCAGAATGCGCATAATACGAAAAGATGTATAAAATATGCAAAGCTTAGCGCTTTCTACGATTCTTGGAAAGTGAAACAACTTTCTACCGAGGTTTTACTTTTTGAATTACATTGTCAAAAGTATGAATTCGCATAAAAATTCGCGGTTTGACGGAAACTCCGCTAATTTCGATTCTTACCGCACCTATACGCGTATGCGACGATCAAATTTTTATTTTTACGAGAATAGGAACGGAATTCTGCAAATCGGTGAATCCGTTGGATACGATGTTTCCGTAAAGTTTGGTACAGGTCGGTGACGTTTTAATTCGATTCCGCGAGTTTCGCATTCCAGCATTCTACGAGCAACAGACACTTGTCGACGGGAACTGCGACCAGATCTGCGTTTACGTGCAACGGACGGACACCGCAGCTCGGTATCCTCGATATCGGTACAAATATGGTGCGATCGCTGGGACACATACGCGCTGTATCGAGCAACGTCTTTCTGGTAAGCATGTCTAACCGATTAGTTTCATCCGCTGGTGTTTGACCGGGAATTTTAATCAGTCACGTCTGCGCTTTCAGCGTAGCTGGGCGACGATGTTTGCGAATCGTGAGACCGGTTCCACATGGAGATACGGGAATAGATCGAAGCTACGGTGGTCCACGAAAGTATTTCAACTCTCGGCGTAGAAAACTTTCGTGAATACATTGCGTGTGTTATACGTAACTTCTTGCAATTTCATTAGCGCTATAATAATATAAGAGGCACGATCGTCGTGATTAGATGCATCAAATTTGAAATCACAAGTTTATACTAAATATAAAAAATAAGACCTATTTATTGGAAACACACGCTTAGTGAAAAATTAAGATACAGCATACACAGTGATCTTGGTAAAAAATCTCTTTAGCAAATGTTCGAATGCCTTCGTCGGACACTGCACGTTAAATTGTATACAACGTACATTTGATACAGTCGATTCTACAAAATGACAAGATCGCTCCTATAACAAGCGATGCTTTTGATCGCTGGTCGTTAATTCGTCTATTTCACACTCGTGCATTGGCCAGTACTTCTGTATAATCTTCCGCGTATCTTCTCTGTGAAAGAGTTTCAAAGTTATATCCCTGTTCAATCTGAAACTCTTGAAAGGTAATTTTAAAGCGATCACGAGGACGTTTCATTCTACTCTATCGTTGAAGAAGAGAACACGTGTATCTGAAGTGGTAACGTTTTGTTCGCTCCGCACGTTGACAGAAGGAACATCCATAAAGTCGTCACATCCCTCTGTCCGCGCGTCACCGATCGAACCTGGCTTCCGACAGTTTCAATTCTACGTAGTTATGGCAAGTACTGACCTCGACTCCGTCCGAGAACCGGGCTTCCGCCAGGAAGCTTCCAATGTCAGGCTTCTCCGCGGATGACATAACTTCTTGCACCGAATATTCTTGCTTCTTAACAAACTCATTCGACGCGAGCTTCTTCGATTTCCCTCAAGCCGACTAAGCACCGTCCACTAAACGTTCGTAAATTCGATCGAAAAGCTAACTCGAGAGAGCGTCAGGGGTCAGAAACACGGGTCAGACGCTTGAGCGACCCTGGTGAACCGATTCGAAGAAAACGAAAGGCTAACTTGAAGCAAGGGGTGAAAGGGACACTTGGACGACGACTCGTTCTTACTAGTAAGAAGGCTCTCGTAAGACTGGACGACATTGCTCGTCGAGGCCAGCTTCCGTGGTTAGCACCGACATCAAGCGTTATGCGCTCGTGGGAGAAGGGATAAAGCGGTGGCCGCTGCGACGTGTCGCGGCCACGTTTTTGGTCCTCGATCCGAGATCGGTGTACCTAGATTCAAATTACGAAATATCTTCTCGGTGAACTTATCTTGGATCTACCTGGCTAAATGGAAAACCAGCTTGTTCTGGAA